CTCCTAGGATCAATATTTTGGATTGAGAAATACTGAGAAAACAACCCTGAGGATGCTGCAAAGGAACAAAATGCCAGCAACTGTTGAACAATATCCTTTAAAATCAGCCGTGTTACATCACCTGTCATGCCTTCTTGACAATATTCCTTGAATAACAAATGACATAACAAGAACACGAGCATTGCTACTTACACCAGAACCAATCCAGGAACTGCTCAGTTAAAGCTTGAGTCAGTTTTCACTCAGATCAATATAAGCCAAGCCACTGATTTGGCAAGTGTTTGATCAGCTGCTACTTCCTTCCTTCCTTGGAAAAAATCCCTCAAACCACAACATGCAATATTTGTTTTAAGAGAAAACCACTGTATATTCACTGCCATTAAAGAAGAAAAAAAAGTATTCATTTATTTGTAAATTCTATTTCTTAGATTCATCACGTCATTAGCACTCTGATGCAGAGACTGCTGAACAGTGACTGATGTAGCAGGCCACAACGTATGTTTATATATTAGCTTCAAAGCCTCCGATTACTAACCCGATTAGGGAGCCTAAATACTATCGGCCAAGATTCTCCCTGGAGAGTAATGCAGTTCTACCGAAGTAAACTTTTGCTGCATTCAGACAGCAAAATATTTGTTGATACACATATCTTTGAGAATTAATGACAGTGTTCAACTCCCTACAGAGCTGGCTGAGAAACATCAGAATTTCTCTCAAGACCATAGAAGGAAAGTTGGCAGCAAAAGTGTATTGGGTTGGGGTTTTTTTTGAGACTTGCTACAAATCTGCATATTAAAAACTCCTTAAAAATAGATGGGATGGTTACAGTTTGTCGCTATTGCACTTCAAAACATGACAAATTCTCAAACAGCTTCAGTCTTTAATAGAAGTTATTCAAAAAGCTGAAAAATACTCTTTTGATGTCAAGAGAGTTTTGAATCAGCAACACGCTCCAAAACCAGAACTAGGCAGCAGCTGAAGACTGATGTCTGGAGGGAAGCAGCCAGCATCAGAAAAATCTCGAGAGACTACATTTCAGGTACTCTTAAGTGCAAGTTTTGAAAGAGGTTTTTTCTGCAGTAGCTTGTGTGTGGGATTAGCCTGATGAAGGACAGCTTCTAGCCAGAAGCAAGTCATTTTTTTCCACTGTACAAAAATACCTGCAGTGGTTTGCAACTGGTTTGACCAGAGTATCACTTAGCTTTTCACAATCTACAGTAGGAAGAACCAAGGAGCAGATCAAGATACAGTACCTTTGATTGTGTTTGCATCCCCGAGGGTTAAATGAGAAGCATGGTTTTGACACAAGAATGTTTACTGCACTTGAGTATTGCTGGAGTGAGATGATACCACATTTCTGTGTTTGAAGTTATTTACCCAGGGAAGTGAAGCCCTTGTTCCACTAACAGTAAGACTGACACAGAGGCAGACTACTTCCCCAGCTGGCCTGTGAGCACAAAGCACAAAGGAAGCTCACAGTAAAGAAATAAGAAATTCAGAGAATAGACACTGAAACCGGTGCCTCCCTATCTCCCGCATCTCCTGTCTGTTCTGCCAGTGTGTCTGTCTGACGCTTGATCAAAATACGCACTCTCTGCAACATCGATATCAGATTACTCTTCTCCCTGCCCCAGTGACCCATCAAGTGATCCCTTATTACCAAGTTACCTGCATGTCATAAAATGTGATGACTTCTTTTCTGGGATAGAAGAGTTCTCCAAGGCTTGGACTGCAAGACAAGTCGGTCCATTATCTGTAGTTATGGTAGTTACTCAGTCTAAAAATGCAATTGCTAATTAGTATTTTCAGAGGTGGATACCTTAGAGGAAAATGTATCTGCCAGTGAAATGCCTCTCCCACCTCCAGCTCACATTGTTTGTCAAACGTAGCAAGTGTCTGGATATGTATTTGAACAGTAAGAGAAAGCAGTGCCATGCCGAGGGCCCCCCAGGACCAGAAGTGTAAATCCTTTATGCAATAAAAACAAAGCTACAAACACCACCAACATGGTGGTAAGACAACTCTTCAAATGCAAACACTGGAGCAAGGAAGAGCTTCTAAATGCTAAAGCAGCTGGGTACAGAGCTAAACAAGATGACCTGCAAGTCTTTAGAAAATTGACTGCTGGGTACCCCTGGCTAGAGCGCTGCTTTCAGGATTTCAGCCAGATTTAGCGACTATTTGTCACTATTAGTGACTATTCATCTCTTACATATAGTTACCTGCACAAAAACTTGGCTACCTCTATGATCATGTCTTCTTCTGATCACATCCACCGGCTTTTGTGGTCTCAGTGAAGTAAGCCAGGCTCTGCTTCCCAAATGCTCAGCATTATTGTCAGTGAAATAGTCCTCAACATTTGATGTTCGACCCTATCGGGAATGGGGTTTAGATTATTAAAATTCTGAAGCAGAGTCCAGTTTACCTCAAAATATTTAGGGGAAAACATTTGGTCACCAGTCTGACCTGCAGCAGCTTCACTCTTATTTAAATCCACTGCATGAGAGCAGGACAGAAGTGTAACTTACCAAACAAGAGTTAGCTGCAGTAGCAGGGCTGCTGGCTCACCCAGCCCTGCTTGCCACAGCAGGTAAGCAACAGCCCCCTGACAATTTGAAACAGTTCTCTATGGCCTATAAAAAGAGCGAAGTCCTTGGCACAACCCACAAACAGCACCACGCAGAGGGAAATGCCGTCACTAAAGTGCAGGTGAAGAGTCCTGTAGGCAGGGAGCTGTAGGTAGCACCAAGCTGGCTTAACTGTTCCTCTCCTACCTTCTGAGTGGCACATCCAGAAGCAGCAACGGGTGGGAAAGACGTGTGTGTGGGGTGTCCATGGTGTCCCACCTGCTTCTCCACAAACAGAAGCTGCTGCCATTTAGCACAGGACATTTTACACCATTGCCAGGTAGCAAAGGAGTAGTCTTTAAATCCCTTCCTCCAGATGACCCTAGAGCCTCAGGAAACCAGCCCTGAGACATCACTGTTTGAACAAGGCTGTAGCATTTCTCCCAGAGCACTGAAGTCCTACAGACATCTTTGTGCGCTGGGATGTTGTGTCCCACAGTTATTCCTCTGGTCCCTCTCGCTTTCCAGTTACTTTAACACCCACCTAATGCAGATACATAGAAACAAACTGGTTTTATTTTCTTACCTTCAAGAAAGCCTGATTTCAGTACTTGCCCCCCCTTCCCATCACTCTGGTAACACATCACTGAAGGCAAGAGCACAGAGATTGCAGAAAAATATATATATATATTTACATCCATAACTGAATACATGTTTTATGTATTCAAATTCAGGAAAAAAGCATCACATATACACACCAAGATACACCAAGAGAATACTAGGGGCAAGACACTGCCAACAGCAAGAAATACACAGAAAAGCACAGTCATTGCTACTGTAACATTCTTCTGGGGAGTGTATTCAATAGAGGAAAACATCTCTATGCATTGGGGAAAGCCAAATACTTGGGCCTATTTTTCTGTGCCAGTTGGTGTGAATCAAGAGTGTGAGGTTTTTACTTTTAAAAAAGTGCATGGAATAATTTTTTTTTTTTTTTAAGCATTCAACTATCCAAACAATTCCATAAGCTCCTTATGTAAGCTACATTATTAATTAAAAAGGTCCTAGGCCTACAGTACACAGATCCAGCTCAGGAGAACACAGGCACATGTTGAAGTCCATCCCTATTTAAGGCAGCATTTAAGCATCCACTCAACTTTGAAGCTTATGTTCTGTCCTACCAACTTCTATAAGCAGTCACAGTACACATTTAAAGTTAAGCACCTGCACAACTGCTCATCTAAATCAGGATGCATTCCCTATTCAGAGCTTTAGATATGCATGTGTGTACTCAGTCTGGATTGGCAACTTCTGCAAGACCAAGCTCTTTTTCTTTTTACTGCCCTATAGGTAAAAGTCACTCCGCATCAGACTTCTCTCCACCACTGTGTTAGGACCCAGCTGGTCCTCTCCACAGCTTGCCCACAAAATGTCAATCTCAAAGGAGTGCAGTGTGTCTGGGGTGGGAAAGCAACTCAACACGTGATTTCAAGGGCTGCTCGTCCTCCCCCTGAAGTGGGCTATTTCACGCGATTTTTCTTTTTTTGTTCCGTTTCTTTTTTTGTAAGAACTAGAATGTGTTCCTTCAGTGAAATCTTTAAAATTAAGGGTGAGGGGAAGGGGCGGGATCCCAGAATTCATCTTAATGGCCCATGATAAACCCCTGAAAATAGGGGAACAGATTTGAAGAGCTTCTTAGCCTCAATGCTACAGGGACCCTGGCATAAAAAAAAAATACACATGCGCACACACACTAGAGAGCAGGCTGGCTCAGAGCATCCCAAAGCAGGCTCCAAAGTGATCTTACATAAAAAGCACTTCGTGCTGACAGTGGCAAACAAGTGGATGGTGATTTTTCACAAATAGCAACAATTCTGCAATATCATCTTCTTCTTCTTCCCTTTTACTTTGTGTCTTTCCTTTTCCCCAAAGTTTGTTTTATCCTATGTGTGGTTTAAGTACTAAAACTAAATTAAATAGGAAATTACACAGTCAGCACCAGTCAGGAACTGGATCTGGGTATGTTAGTTGGTTTGTGGTACCCAAATTCCTGGAAGAACGAAAGAACAATTCTTGCTCCTAAAGTTAGGGCCACATCCATATGTTTCCATTGTCTTTTTCACCTTTACAACTAGAGGTAGAGTCATTTTGTCCAGTATCTAAAACAGCATGATCCAGTTATATTGTTATTACATTAATATACAGTATCCATCTTATCACAGGTATTGAAAGTGCATGGAAAAAGTCTAACCAAGCCAATTCGATGACAAGTAACAGTGTACCAAACATCATATAAACACACCCGCGCACCCACACTCACACGTAGTGTATATATATATTTATAGATTAATTTACAGTATCAGAGTGTTGTTTAGATCCAGTGGCATGTGCAGAAATATCAGGCAGTTGCTGCTTTTCCTTCTCATATTCTCTTCAATTCTTTATTTCCAAGATAGACGGGTTGTGGTCTAGGATTGCCAAAATAATCTTGTCCATATACTGTCGCAATCTGTAATTTATCTCTTCCTGTTCTTTAAGGGCTTCCATGAGCTGAAACACAACATTTCAAAGTTAGTCTTGAAATATTCTCACTAGTTTACGTAATAGCATGAAATTCAGACAGGTGAGACACTAGCGCCTGCTCGGGATCACCAACTCCCTTCTGTGACAGGTATTCTACCTCTAGTTCATCCCTGTATCTCTATTAGAAACAATCTGTATGTTAAAGATCCTTACCATTAAGGAAGGTGGTGAACTGTCATCACCAGGAATCTTTTGGCAGGTCATTTGAAACAAATTCTCCAGCCAACACACCAATTCCTCCTGCAACCACACCACGGATGAGCTTCCTCATCTCAGTGCAAGAGCTTCATGATACTCAATTTTTTTCGTATCTACTGAAATCTAAAGCACTTTGCATGAGAGGCTGCTGAACAGAACAAGGATTTCAGTGTTTTGCACTGGGAACAATATGGGCTGCCTCTGTATCATGTGCATACTCTCTCTCAAAAAAACCCTACCAAAAAACCCTAAAACAACACAGCTACATACTCCTCAAGAACAACCCACTGAATATTCTATGTTCTATATTAAAGATGTGTTTCACTAGACCTTTGAGCTGTGAAAGGCCCCTCAAACTCTCCAAAGATGAAGACTGCTTGCTTTTTATACTCTGCATGTTTAATGCCAAGCTGACAAAGCTGCCCAGGAGTGTCAGAGCCCCAGATCCTCCTAAAGCTAATGTGATTTGGGTGTCCATTTCCATTAACCTTCATAAAAGTCCCACCCTGAACCTGCAGTTTCTTACCTTCATTTTGATTATACAGGAAAATGGCACAACAGGAAAAGTTTATGCAGGTCAGTGAGGTTTACTAAGCCTGGGCCACAGCTGTAAGGCACTTTCCTCCTTTAGAGGGGGAGTGCTGGGTATTGCATGAGCCAGAATCATGAGATCCAGAAGGAGAAATAAAGATTTGTCTTGACAATAGCAAAAGCCCAATTTGCTTTTACCTAATTAGAGTTCAACAATTAAACGGCCTTTCTTCACAGTGCTCTGCTTCAGCAAGAAACTCAAGTATGCACTTCACTTCAAGGGACTGCCCAGGAGCTAATGCTGACAGGGTCATTCAAGTACAGATTGGGTGAAAAGGTTTGTCTCAGGACTCCTCTTGAAGAAGTAGTGGGAAGTTCTGTCCAGAAAAAACAATTCCTTTTCATCTCCTTCATCACTAACCTGTCTGTTTCCCTGGAGCTCTTACATGTCCATTGGCCTGATCTCACTATCTGTCCTGGAGCCTAAAGGAAGCTGTACCAGCTTGACTCAGCCCACGTACAAATGGGTCTCCTATAATATCTTCCAAAGCATTACCAGATTATTACTCGCACACTACCTACTTTCTCCAAGAATTCAGCTCTGCTACAGGGAATATATAGCTCAAATTTAGATCTAAGTAAGAGCTTGTTACTGAAGTAACTTAGAAATAAATCTAGAACAGAAAGTAAAAATTTAAGCAACTAGCTATGGTAATTTCTGTATGAAATTAATGTCATAATAGCACAATACCCTGTAAGACAGAAGATGTTAAAATACATCCATTGTAAAACAGTTCACTGAGATTCTAATAATTCCAATTTTTTGAGACACACAAATGGAAGAGATATTAAAAGAAGCATCCAAAACCACTGTTAGATTTAAGGCAATCTTCTAACACTCTTGAACTCCTAGCAAAGCAGATTTTTCTGTTGTTCGTTTGTCAGCTTCAGACAGTTCAACCTTGACAGTTAATTGCATTGAAAAATGCATATTTTTGGATGTAGTACTTGATTAAAAAAAGCGTTATTACCTCATCTCTTGACGCAGAATCAATTTCAGCAGCCAGTGACTGGGCTTTTGTTTGCGTTGCAAAGAGATTTTTAGCTTCATATAGACTAAGACTTAGGATCTGTCCATTAAGATCATCATTTTGGTCACGAAGTTTCTGATTTTCCTATTTAAGGATGAAGAGACATTGCTTTTAAGTTCCTCCTACAAGGTTTCATTAAAAAATAAATACATTTTTAAAATCACAGGTAGCTTGCATGACAGAGTAAGGCTGCAAGCTAACAGCAACTCTCTTGCCACTAGTGACAGGTCCGCCCCTCCTGAATCACAGGTGTTTCCTATGTGCACAATTTACACCACCAGTGCAAAGAAGTCCTAGACAGATGCAATGCGGGTCTTGTGCTTGTGTGGGAAGGAGGGGTCAAAATCTGAAGGCAGTGTGCTAGGGGTTGCAGCTATAGGCATTTTTTCAAAGCAGTCCTGCACATTTCACACGGATCGAGAGGCCCTTCCCTGCTCACCTGCTTCAGCCGTTTTATCTCATGCTCCATTTCCACCTCTCTGGTTTTGGCATTGAATTCACTCACGCTGGATGAAGAACTTCTCCCACGTCCAGGACGCTCACATTCCAGCTTGTACAGCTGCAAGTGCTCCAGTTCCTTCCGCAAATCTTCAATGAGCTGCGGGCATGCAAGCAGGCCATGTCTCTCCAGCCCCTGCACAACCAGCCCTCCCTGGAAGCAGCCATCTCTGTGCTGCACCTCCGTACTCTGATATAAGCACTATGTGAGCCTGGTTGAGGCTGGACATTCCTACAACACAGCCACTTGCTCTTCTATGGAAGCACAGGTCACTTAAACCGCTTCAGAGCTGGAAGCGGCTCTGCTCTCTAAGCTTCGTGTCCGAGAGGCATAATTCCCCTTGCAAACTTAGTAAAGGAAATGTTAGGGCACACATTCAAGGCTGCAAGTTCTCAGAGTTGTAAACCCTTTGGGTCAGGGATTGCCATTTATTAGGTATTCTTGCAGCATTCATTGCCCTGTGGGTACCCCTCCCATAGAAACACAATCCAGTAATGCATTCACTGGATGTTGTATTTTCAGTGTTCATCCTGCCTGTCCATTCTTTTTCAGACAGGCTTCCATGCAGATGAGATGCGATTGCCTGGTCTTACATCCCTCTTCACACCTACCTCCTGTGTGGCTTCTCTCTCCTTGTTAAATTCCAGTCTGTTCTGCCGCAGCTTGTCCATCATTCTCTTGTACAAATCCATCTCGTCCTTCAGTCGCAGACTAGTGTCTTCCAACCTATCCGACATGCGTTGCCTTTCCTAGAATAAATGGGGAACTTCATAGCTTGCGAGTGCATGAGCCATCTTCAGTTTTACAACATAAATCTATAGACACAGCTAGTCATAAGCTGGCATGTTTCTTGGGGAGGGTGACCCAATAAAGGTGACCAATGTTCCAATTCCATCAATATTCTTGTTTAGGTAAGGCAAGTTAAAGCAGCTGGGCCAATCACTATATGAGTTTGCTCTTACACAAATCAAGCTGCTGTTAAATTGCTCAAGCACTCAGGAGTTTTGTTACCTCATCTAATCTCTCCGTTTGTGATTTCAGTCGTGTGACAGTGCTTTTCAGCTCACCATTTTCTTCTTCCAGTTGCTGAACCCTGTGTAAATAACAAAAATCTTACAGCAAATGCCTCTTCAAGAATGCAGACATGCAAAACAGCATGCTCTAAAAAGCCATTTCACTTGCACTTCATAGAGAGACCAAACAAGAACATCTTCTAATCTTAGCATTTTTTCTCATGAGCTATTGGGTACTTTTTGTTTGTTTTTAGGGCCAAAAATGCTACACTGACCCTCAGATTTTTATGCTCCTTACGACAGGTATCTAAAAAGAATTAAGTAGGAAGAAACAAATGCAGACACAAGTGTTTGCTACAGCAGGTCACAATTCCCTCCTTGAATTCATGCCAAATATCCAGCTAAGCTGTCTACATGGGCCATGTGGATTAAAGCATTAATGTAAACCATTCTCCAAGCTTTTGGGCATTAGACATGCAACTGCACAGCTACTCTATAGAACTACTAACCTGTAACCATCTGTGCACTGTCTGGTTGTGAACAGCCTACGTTTACATGCTAAGTAAAGATGAAGAAAAGAAGAACTTGTACTCTGTTCTGGGTGGCACCAAGATGTTTGTTACCTTGTATTTAGCAGTTCAATTTCTGTGCCTTTCTCTTTTTCGTACTTGCTATATGCTTCTCTATGTCTCTTTATCTCTTCTTCCAGGGTCTGTTCTGCTGATGTTTCTTGGTCTTTCAATAGTTCTTCTAGCTCATGAACTCTAAGGAAACCAGATCTCATTTCAGTAACAGTTTCACAAGTACTTAAAAAAAAAACCAACACACCACCAAAAAAAACCTGTGCAACTTCACTGCCTCTCCCTTTCCTCCCCATTCCTTTATTTCATTCTATGTCACCATCCCTCTTGGCATTTAACCTCTCCCAATATCTCTCTTGGTATTTAAACTTCCCAATAAGCATAGAATTAAGTAGTATCAGTTCATCTATTGTTCTTTCATTCTCAGTCTCAAGAAGTTGGGACTATGACCCAGCCTTCTGCTCTTGCTACGTGCAAGAAAAAAAAAATCCAGTGGTCATCTCTCTTATAACAGAAGAGCTTGCTCTGTACAAGCTGGTAATATCTCTGTACTAAGAAACGTGCTTAGGTGGTCTCTGCTTGCTGAAAATTCAGCAAGGCAGCCCAATTCCACTTGGACTTCTCAGATGAAGCCTTATCTTATTTTGCCCGTCAGCATTAAGGCAGAAGACTTGGTCATATTTTATAGGTAGAGATGTTCCTTCCCTCCAACTTTGTTCTAGCTCTGCTCTGACATGATAAAGAGAACTGGCTCCATGCTTTATTACCTGTGAACTAGCTGTGTGTTCTCTTGTTTCAGTTTGCTCTTCAGGTCACCATTTGTCAGGCTATCATTCTCCAGTTCTGTCACCTTTTTTTCTAGGTACGTTACCTGAAAGGGGAAGTGAAAAAGAATTGAGAGTTTGAATCTCTCTTCGCTCTTTGTAACTGTCATTTAGCTATGCTACCCTTTTTAAAGGGGGCATACTTCCCTGCAAAGCCAGCAGAAAAATTAAGCTCTGAATTTCTGAGTTCACCAGATCCTGCATCTTCCTTGAAGGTGATCAATGCAAATACACAATAAAGAAGTACTAATACAATGTCTAGATCTGTACTTGCACAGTTTTTGCATTTTTGTGAAGCGAAGTCATAACATTAATGGAATATCAAGGACATTTTGAATGAGCTACTTCAGATGACTGGTAACTGTAAGCAAGAGAGCTTTGTCAATTGATGCATGTCTCCAGCAGGATTTTGTTGGGTACATTAATCGCAATGCACACGGCTTCTCACCTTTTCAGTTATATCATTATCACAGGAGTCTATACTGTCTCTGAATAGGTCTTCTGTGCTGCCATTACTGCTGCTGAAGTTACTGTTGTGGAAGAGTTGTCTGAAAGATCAGAAGGATAATATTTGGCTTGATGAAGATGGAGGAGAAAGAGTCTGAGTACTGTCTTATAGCCTGGCTTTGCACTTTGAGCATCCGATGCTAAAATCTGTGCAATCATTTCAGTGACAATTACAACTGTTTAAGTACAAGTCTTACAAGAGACTGCTAGCTAAATGAAGCCATACTGAGCACAATCAATGACATTAGTTCTAGGGTACAAGTTCTTTGTTGCTTTTGATAGGATCCGCCACCAACATTAACAGTTTAAAAACTACTTAGCCTTATTCAAAGTATGTACTGGGTTGTATTTGCCTTACTAGAAATTTAAAGTAAGGTCACCACTGTGTACTGGTTGATACAGTCAATCTAGAAAATTTCATACCCTAAGAGCTTCTTTAAAAGCAGAAAAAAAAATTTTCCAAGCAGTTCCCACTAGAGAATAGCGTCAGAATATATAACACTGAAGATTATCTAAAATATTCTCGAAACTTACAGCCCTCCCCAGCCCAGGGCTGGTTCATTCAGTCAAAGGAAGATCACCATTCTGTATGTCCTTTTTTAAAGGGATGCTCTTGGTTTCCTTTGCATTTCGGCAACAGCAACAACAAAAAGGCCCACATTATGAGGGCAAAAGAAGCAATAGGTGGACTGATGGAATAGCAGTATAAAGGTTGAAAGTTGGCAGACAAGGAAGCAACTATCTATGTTCTTAACAGAGCTCTTTCCAGTTCAGGGGCCTGCTCCAAGACTAGCAGTGGCTTCTATATTCTGTAACATCCCTATCCAAATACAGGCCCCTTCCCTTGAAAATGTGACTTGGCACATTTTTGTTTTCCTAAACTTATTCCTCCTCCCTCCTCCCACACCCACTTATGGAATTGTTACAGCTGATTCCATACGTATTCATAAAAAAGTTGAAGACTCTTACCTTCCAAAAGCTGTGCTTGATATTTTCCTGTTAGGGCTACATGGATACAGAAGGAATGATATAGGAATTAAACACTTATTTGATCAGTGTTGGATTCAATCTTAATTTAAACTCCAGCTGAATTGCACAATGAAACATAATACTGACTTTTTTAGTGAAGTAAAAAAGTGATTCTGTGAACAATATTCTTAGACAACTTAATCAAAAGCTGCAGTTACCAACAATGTGAAGACGAATGAAGCCACAAATTACTGTGATCGTTAATAATTAAATTTACAAATACTGTTATATTTAGCAGAGATCTGTCAGTGCAAATCAGAGCGAAACTAACATTAGAAACACCACAAAGGGACACTGAGTTAGTGATGGACATTTATTCTAGATTCCCAGTTTTTAGATGATTTTATAAACAGTTAGTTTATCCTTTCCCATAATGCTTCCCAGTTCAGCACAGGAACTGAGATGCTTTCCATTTTTACAGTTCCCTTTTGCAGCCAGAGACTAGTATTATCTAAATGAAGGACCAGACTCCAGACAACAGCACTAGAACCAAATCAAAATATCCAGCTGTATCTCTTGATAAAAGGATGTCGCATCTCTGTGTGCACACAGACACACAGCTCTTTGTCAGAGCGTCGCTCTCTTTCAGCCAGGTATACACAGCCTCACTCATAAAATTACCAAAGCCCTAGCCGGTCGTGGTCTGGGTGTTAGCAGACTCCTTGCTAGGGCAGGAACATTGTTCATACCAAGTACTATGCTGCTGTGTCATCAAGAGAAGAAGCAGTGCAGTGTGCTCTGTGCCAAGGATTATGCAGACAGGCAGGATTTACATTCAGTTTCTAGGGGGAGCTAGAAGCTCACCAAATAATTTTCTTCAAAACCACTAGATGATTATTGAAAGCACTGGATTCTTTCCAAGTGCTCAGCACAGTTTAGAAGTGGATGGAGTGGCAGAGATAGACATGTAAGGAAAAAGCTGAAATTGCAAAGAACCCCAAAAGTAACTTCTGCCATAGGATTCATCATTTTTCCGAGTTCCCTTGAGGACAAAAAAAAATCCCACAGGAATGAAGCACCTCTGCTGACCAATAGCTTTAGGAGAGGTGTATGTAAGGTTATATGCATTAGCTAAGGATCTGCCAGATCACTCCTTCTTACCTGGAGAAAACAGTAGGTAACTGTAGATCTGCACTAAGCAGCACAGCAGACCCCACTTCCTGGGAAAAATTCCTGGAAATATCACTCTCACTCTGCAAAGATCTCATTGCTTAAAATATTTGAGTTTATTAATGCTGTCTGCACCTTAAGTCAGAAAAATAGTTACTAGCTAATGAAGAACAGCATTTTGGTTCAGGCTAGATGTTAATGTCTGAATTTCTTACTGTTTTGTAAGAACAACACGTGTAAGACAGAAAGGGATACAGGGAAGGAGAGGGCTCTTTCTTTCTCTCCTCCTGCTACTAGCTAGTCCCCTTCCAAGGGGGCATTGCTAAAAGCAGTGCAAGAGGCTGCTTACCTGTTTGCTTTCAAGTTTTTCAGCCTGGCTTCCAAATCGTTGAGTAGATTTATCTTTTTGCAGCACTGTGAGCAGTAAACATCCAGTAACTCGCTGTTATAAACATGCCTCATTTTTCGGGGTGTTTGGCCAGCACTGTTTGCAGGAAAGGAGAGACGTTACTGGCTATAGTAACCAACTCAACAGATTTTCCTCTTGACTGCGTGTCTGTGTGTCAGAATCACAGACGAGGGACTTGGGGAACTACCTCTAACTGCAGCTCATCAAACTTAGAGGTGATGATGGAGAATGCTAGTCTTAGGGCTACCTAAGACTAAGCTCAACGTCCTCTGAGTTGAGGCTTTATAGAGGACGTGTTCTGGGTGTCAGTGGAAAGAATCAGTTTGGGTGACTGGAAGAATAGCACAAGGTATACAGAGTCCATGCGATGCATGTAGCAAAAGCAGCTACATTAGTACGTTCCACCTCAGCAATGTGGCCCACTCTCATCTTGCCCATCTTCCCACTGAAGCCTGGCATGCAACCTGAAGAGTCTTTTCTTCAAGAGAAAGACAGGAAGATGAAAAACAGAGCAGGCTGGTAAGAAGAAGTCACATGAACCCCCTCAGATGGTAGGACAGAAGGAACCCTAGAATGAAGAGGAAGGGAGAAGTGGACATAGGTCTAAAGAGGAGATAACAGTAGCTCTTGGCATGATAAAGAGAAAATAAACTCAAATAAAAGAGAGCAATCATGGCATGAAGTGCACAGAGCCCCAGGAATGGGAATGGAAAGGGCTGCATAAACCTGAGGAAATAGGGGATGAAGGACACAAGCCATCATCATGAAGGGGCGGTGAAGAGGGGTGCTGGCTCTGCATGCATGACAGAGGTGGCAAGGTTGGATTGCAGAAGTCCTTGAAACAGAGGGTAGCACATGGGGGTTACATGCAGAACAGAGGGATGCAGTGAGGTTGTCCTGTGTTAGCAATGAAGCACAAGACCTTTGTGTGCTATTGATCCAAGCAGTCAAATCCTAGAGCATCTTCATGCTCGGCACTTCCCCAAACCTGCTCACCCATTCCCTTGCTTGGGTAAGGATTTTAAAATCAGCAACTGACTTGGTTACAGGACGTAAGAGCTACAGAGACTGAGGTCACATCCAAGAAACTGGTGGACTGTAGTGGTGTTTCCAGCTCCTAACAGACAGCAGCTACTTGCTTATGTTCTCCAAGACATTCAAGTCAATATGGATGCTTGTTTCAAACAAATCCCTGTCCGTATACAGCACTTCACCTTACAGGTTAGTGCTAAGGATTTGTAGTATCAGAACACTAAAGAGGAGCAGCTCTCTTGCAGGTCTTCTCTCCACTGCATCAGGGCTGGTGCATAGTGCTAAGCTGGTTTCCAGCTTGCAGCAGGTAACTTCCAATACTAGCCCTAACTGTAAAAATCTACTGTCTGCAATAGAAAGAAATCTCTACAAGCAAAACAGCCCAGTTATTTCAACAGAACCCAACAGAGGTTATTGGAAACAACAGACTTGCTATAGCTCTTATTATTAAATGTAGTCTGTCAATCGCAGGGCAGAAAATGAACTGATAACATTTTGCTTTTAAGGTGAGTCTGTGTAACGAGTGTAAACTCTGGTATGGTCACCTGTGCTGAGAAGAACAAAATTGAAAAATTGTTTGTTAATGAATAAGGAGCAACCTGGAAGATACAGATGAGCCAAGGTCAGAGTAGGCGTTGGTTCTGGTTTCATCATCAGGGCATGGGCTACTGGGAGTAAAATCCACATCATCTCCTTCCCCATAGTCTTCAAACTGTTCTTCATTACTGATCAGAGAGGCAGTGGAATAAGTTGAGAGGTCAGATGCTGCAGAAGGGTTGTGAGGACTTGACCTGAAACAAGAGGTCAAAACGTCTCGAAGGCCGACTTTGATAGCATCTCACCTCACATGGAATCTTCCACCTTTACAGCTTGTTCCCTCATTTGAAGTTGTAACCCACCGACTTTGTGCTAAAAAACTGAAGTGCTAAACACATCTGATGTGCATTTGACATAGTGCCTTGAAAGACAAGAGCATGAGAATCTACAAACAAGCTACCTGTGAGATGGGTTTGGATCAACACAAACCACTTCACTTTAAAGAGCACACCTCAACCATTTCCACGTAGTGGTGAAGACTGTTGCTTATGGACTTCTGCTCTGAATGCAGGAACTGTGCAGACAACTCCGAAATGCATGGGATAGCAAGAGGAACATGTACAAGCCAGAGGCTGTCGCTCTATTCCACAATCAGAGTTTCCCAATAATCCCCGTAAACCCTCTCCCACACCCCATGAGCTCCAGCCACTCTCTTGTGTGGCCAGAAACAAACTTCAGCTCACCGCACGCCACAGAGTCACTAAAGCTACAGATGTGACCGAATGGAGGCTGAGTTCCTGCCCTTCCTTCCATTGTGACAAAAATGTGTCTTTCAGAGGAGATATGGACCACAAGAAAAAGGTGCTTTAGTACCAGAGAAGTACCTAAGATAATGCCAAACAGGTAGGGAATGGCAGGACCCTGTGACCTCAGAGTGAGAGGACATATAGGTAAACAGATCAGCAGAGCCAGGCACCATAGGAAAGCAGCTGGCAGAGTAGTTTTGAGCACATCACGTCTAATACAATGGAGCAAGTTTGCTGCAGAGGGTGCACGGCGATTCTCCTGTCCAGAGTCCAGACTACCCTGCAGTCACGCAGTGTGCTGTCTTACAGAGGCAGATATTTTACACAGGTTTGCTCAGCTCCCACCTCAGTAAGGCACTCAAACAGACAAGCCAGTAAATTCACATACAAGTTCTTATAAGCAAACTTCTCCCTACAGAAAATGCACATCTAAGGCCTGAAACACATGCTCCACTTGTGAAGCCCTGGAGTTGCTCGACATGTTACTGTTCCTACTACAAAGCAGAATCCAGAGCCTCTCTGCAATACAGACAAGGCACTGATTCAACCTGCTGACGCTTTGTGCAGATTGGGTTAAGTTTTTCACTCCCTTTGCTTCAGTGCACAGTGCTTGTATCTTCAACTCCACTAGCTGAGCCATGGAACAGTAGCTCCCAGTCAATGTTGTTCTCCAGCAGCTCAACAATATTGCCTCCTAGGTTTCTTTTGAGTCTACCTTGAGCCTCTCAACCGTGCCCTGAACTTCCGGAGACAGGGAGATTCCTCTTCCTGTAATACTACACTTGTGAGCTGTAAACAAGAGAGGCAACAGTGTTCCTTTGGCCGATGGCGCAAGCATTATTTGCATATCCCTTCCCTCCAAAAGCAATTAGTAGAAGAGGAAGCCTGCCAATGTTTCAGATGTATGCTCTTTTATTTCTCCTGTTTTGATGAGATTCATTTATAACCTGCAATTCATTTATCTAATTCACATTAACAGAAATTAGGGCAAGTCAACCCTGGCACACTATTAAAGGATGAAGATAGGAATAATACCAGAAACAGATCAAACCTACCTAACAAGGCTCTTTGGCTGGGAGACGGATTAGTGAGAAGCTCAACACATCACACTAACATCTATTCATAAAGAGCTGCTGTGCCACAGACATACTGTGTACTGGTAAGTATTTGGGTGACTATGATCTGTGTAACTGTAGCTGCTGTTTTCATTTCAATGTTGCTACACCAAGTCAGTTTAGGAAGAAGCTCCTCATAACACTTCCACCAAGGATGGAGGTGAATGACCTCAGCTGGGATGATAACGTATACTTGTCCATAAAATCCACTCTCCAGCATAATAGCCCTGGAATGTCACCGCTTGCCAACAGACTGGAGTTCAGCATTCTTATCCCTCATGCATTACCTAAGTTTCTCTTATGGCAGCTATGCAGTCACCACTGCTGGACCCACCTGATAATGTTGCTTAGAACTTTTAATTTGTAGTTATTCGTAAGCTTTGCCAAACTTTAAACTGCTTGGGTTGAAACAGTCCATGTCAGGGTAGATCCTGAACTCATAACCAGCCTCAGACTGGAAACCATCTAGGAATTGCACAGTTATTTTCAAGGTAGTTGCTAAAAGCAGCTGTCTTTCCCCATTCTAACACTTTCTGAAGGAAGCTTTCAGGTTTGGGGTTTTTTTTGAAGCTATTTCCTGTTCTCCAGAGCAGGACTTCACAGAGGGCTGACACATCTGATACACAACCCACCTGCTTCTTCAACAAGCAGGTATCATGGTTTGGCCAAGGTAAAAATCTCTATCATGTCTTTTAACACAAAAGCATGAAGTTTCCCAAGTGTTTTCCCACAGATTTACCAAAGCTGAGGAGGCCTCAGAGGATAAACTAAGATCTATTAGTAGTAGCACAGTAGCTCTTAGCAGCCCCCCCCTAGAAAGAGGGTACAGGATGGACAATGCCTCCCCCAGCCCCTTCACATGAGCCTGAACGGCACAGCTGGGAGGAAAGAAACTCATTTCAAACGCAGTATGGGTAAAAGTCAGTCACCGCAAGGATGGGTGCTTTGAAGAAGCAAGGCAAGGAGACAAGTTTGATAAAGAGCTGATGAAAACCGGAATTATCTTGATAAATTCTCTGGGATTGCTTGCACAAGTGGGAGAAGGCCAGACCTCAGCTAGCTGAGAAATTCAGGAGGATGGTAGGAATAAGGCTGCACAGAGAGCACCTGAGGAGGAGGACTGCCTTAGCAATGAAAGAAGCTCAAGATGACAAGTCAAAAATAGGGAAGACAGGGCAGAGGCTTGCAAAGCAAGCCCAGTTGAGCTCTGTCGCATGGTACTGCATTAACTCAGCTCAAAGCAGGCTTAAATCAAGTTGGGTCCCTTTCCCCCAGTCGGCTTTTACCAACACCCCCCAGGTACACGCCTGGGAAGAGTCAGGTTAGGATTACAGAGACACTCTTGTGTTAACAGCAAACTATGGTTACACATGCACATGCCAGGACACCCTCTGTTAAACACAAGTTACTGTTGCGCGCTAAAGGTTATGGAAAATTAGAAACACACAGAATTAACTTGGTACATGGAGTTGCAAAGCAAATCTGCAGAGCCCACATCTTCAGATAACTAGACGTACAAAAGGCTAAAGCAGCGTTCCCCACATTGCACTGCTTTGCAGGAAGTATTTGTTTTAATTCCAGCATTTAAAGGTTATGGGAACACAGAAGATCCTAAGTTTGGGGGATGCCAATGCAGTGATCCATTCTGGAAAGACCCAACACTTTCACTTCAACACGCAACATACAAGTCCCATGAGTGCTCACAGGACATGCCAGAAGGAGCCAGGGCTGAGACTGTCTAAGGCACTTAGAGGACCTGGACATCCATCTCCTTTATATTGTAAATGGATATTAAGTTTCTAAATCCTTCGGGCATCCTCAGTCTCCCACAGTAGGGATTAGTCACATAAAGGCTCCTTCCTCCCCGGTTCTTTTGCACGTGCCTCGAAACAGGGCTGCCATGGAGCAAAACCACCACTCACTTGTCACCAGGCAGAAACAGGCCACCAAGCACACTGTCCTTCTCCTCATTCCGACACACGTCAGAGGCCTCCGAGCTCTGGGCACTCTCAATAGCACTGTCCATGTCAGACTCATGGTGAACCTCTTGCTGTGCTAGAGTCATCGCGTCGTCATCAGGAAAGAGCTCCAACTCGCCGTAGGCACTTTCGCTGTCCACGTAGGCACAGTCCCGGATTTCACCACCCTGGCAAAAGAAGAATTGGGAGGCAATTCAGATCATCCTTCAAGGCAGCTAAGAGGATACAGGAGAAGCAGTAATCCACTCTCTGGATGCCCTGGTAAGCAAGAGTGATACTGAATAAAAGCCATAAAACAAAAAGGCTGACCTGCTTTACAAAGGCTGGTTCCTGCAAGCCCCTAAGGTAGCTTGCACCTTCCACAAGGGCTCAAATACTGTCTCTGACTTGGTGTCTCTCTTCTATAGGAGAGAGGGACACAACACCCAGGTATAAAATGCAGTCAGTTTTGCCCTAATTTACTATCAAAATGCACTTGAAGTAATAAATATCCTCAAAGTTTTATTATAAAAAGCAGCATCCTTTGAAAGAAGATAATCACAGGACTAAGTCTCAGTGACTTCATGGATTAATATTATCGATTAAACAAAAGCAATCCAGGTAAGTCGAACAGTTTACTCTGAGGATGGGCAAAAATCTATGAGGTGAAGAAAGAGTTGGCAGGTGTTAAAACATTTATGGTAAGTCTTGGTGACAATCAAAGATAAGAGAGCAGGGGAAAAAAACCCCAAACCTAAAGCCATCTGTTCCTGCTTCTTGGAACCACGTCTTGATTAAGTATCAACTAAAATAAGATGTCATTCTCATTACTGCAACACTTTGCTCTTGCTGTTCATCCCCTCCCTCCCCTCCTTGCCCCATGAGCACTCACAATAGCCAAGACAAGCTGTTTTCTATTTGCTTGTCCCTGAGGGACAAATAAGAATTCTTAATTGAAAAAATAAAGCCTAAGATTTTACTCTGTCCTTTGTTTGATACGTAGCAACACAATAGTGCTTTGACAATTCCCATCCAGCGTGACACAAACAACTCATGACTCCAGAGCACGTCCTGCAAATGCTCTGACTCAGAGCTCCACTCCAAAGCTCACCTGCAAGCTCCACAACTATTGCCAGTAAGTCAAGGCAATCATGCATTTAAGGCTTAGTTTACTGGCACAAGTAATGAAGCATTTCATTCATGGATACACCTCATATTTAGGCCCAACTGTCATCTGCCCAGCTCCTTCCCCAGGAATCCCAGGGCACTGGCAGCCTGGCACCACCGCAAGCACCAGCTGCCCTTCTGGCAAGCACGTTCAGTGGGACGCTGTTACAGTGGCACCGCTTGCAGCAGCACCGCTTCAAGTCAACCCCATAGCCTCTGGACACTCCTATGCTCGAGCCACAGACGCTTAAACCCCCTTTTTGCAGAACTAATGATGTTCTATGCTGATGACACCAATTTTTCTCAGTGCCTTTTTCACCTCAGCATGAGAAGAGTCAGCCAGAAGCTGCAGCTTTTTAAGATTTGCAAAAACTGCTACTAGAAATGCAGGTGTCACCTTCCATTTTTTCCTGAAATACCAATTTATATGATTGTGAAAACTCCTAGCATACGGAGGTTTAAGAAATTTAGAACAACCCCACCTGCTCAAACCTAGTTAACTAATGAACACACAAGCAGTCAAAAGGACAGCTTTACCTGCAGTGTTTGAATCTCTAGGTACATACTCAGAACAGCTATCTAGATGCTCTTCTCGCTGAACTTTCAACAGGTCTTCCAGATACACAAGTAATATCAGTAAGACACTTCAGCACTGTACAACAATAAGCACGTGTATATGCTTTCTCCCACTTTTCTGTGTCAGCCTTATTAAGCCTGAAACTTTCCCTAGGTACTGCTCCAAGAGGTGTCCAAAAGGATTTATTCTTGGTGTATGCCATGTAGTATTCATTGAAGCCTCTCTGCCTCATGCAATCAAATTTCTAGCTCTGAGCCACAGCACCTTCAGCATGGCCACGACCCCTCATGCGCAGGGAGCTGTTGGTTTGGCAGGTCACACACCAGCTGTGGAGTCTGCCCTGGCCCTGCTATAGCCCCAGGTCCTTCAGCACATCTTCTGACCTGCACCTTGCATTGTCACAAGCAAGCGGGAATAATGACGCTGTTGCTCTTTGCAAAGTACCTTGCAATCTACAAATAAGACAGCACAAGCAATAAGACCTTTTTAGTAGGTGTTGAAAAAGTAAAGATTGTTAAGAGCAATTAAGATGTTTCAGAAGTATCCAGGAGTGTTTGTTTATCTAACATTTCCTCCAAGTTTCCTCCTGCATGCTAAGCCCCACAGGCACAGAGCTCCTGTTTCTCTTAAAAAGTTTAATGCAATAAAGCCCTCACTGCCAATTGCACCAGCTGGTAAAAG